TCCCACAACAGTTAATCCTCTGGGTATAGGACAGTCTGTGTTTCCTACTTGACACCTACTCTGCTGACTACACATAGGGCTGAACAGCAATGCGAGCCCCATCTTTTGACTTTACATGCATTCAGTCTGAACATTTTTAAACCACACATGTTCACCGTACCAGCTGCCTGCTCTGGCTAGCTTAGCGTAGCGTGGCTGTGTCTAGCTGAGCTTTCAAAGCCTCCGAGGACAAGGCTTGCACCGCCCCGTTCGAGCGCTGCGCTGCTCTCCTAGTGACCAGGCTTTTCCTGTTGACCAACTTGAACCTGCCAAGGTACAAACTGCGGCCGTTATTCCTTGTTGTATTGGCTGCCACTGTGGAGAAGAGTTTGGCTCCACCATCTCCGTAAACCCCTTGCAGGAGCTGTAGGCTGCCATGCGGTTGTCTCTTTGCCTCCTCTCAGCCAAACAGACCAAGCCTCAGCCCTCACAGGCTGCGCGCTCTAGGCACCCGGCTGTCCCCGCAGCCTGCCGTCCAACAACCCTCCTCTTGAACGTGGAGGCCCCAAACCAGATATGGCCTTGCTCCACGCGTGGCCTCAGCCGCACTAAGTCGAAGGGGAGTACTAACTCCCCTTGATCTGAGGTCCGTGCTCTCCCAAACGTAGCCCAGGGTGCGGTTTGCTTCCTTCACAGGGAGAGCATGCTGCAGGCGCGTGTTCAAACCGGAGTGCCCCATAACCCTCACGTCCTTTTCAGACGGTGCTCCCCTGACTGCTGCTCACAGGAGAGGTGGTGGTCCATCATCCCTGGCGAAAAAACAGAGCTTGCAGCTGGAGCAGCTCGCTGAACTGATCACCAGCGCAGATCTAAGGGAGAAGCTGGGAGTACGCCGACGTCAGGCCTTGGGGCTGGCTGAAGCAGCACTGGAATCGCACACACCCGCACGGGTAATATAATGCGACGCACAGGTAATGTAACAAGTGAAATCCTGTCGGCTTTGGTTCAGATTTGTTCGGTAAGAAACACATGGGGAACAGCATCCGGAACAGCATCCTCTAGATGGAAAGGAGTAAGGCTGGGAGAGACAGATGAACCTCTACAGCAGCGTTAAGAATGCTATCAAGTGAAAAACCCAAGAAACCTCAACCTGGCAGCGCTCTTATAAACAACTGCTCTGCAGCTAGAATGTCCCAAAGAAAAGTAGACTTAGTAGTAAATAGTGGTTTCTATGAAAAACAGATGAAAACCAAAACATTCTTATATTGCCACTATGAAATACTACTGAGAAGTGCCTGAAAACTGAGTATTTCGGTCAGATATAAATATATCCCCAAATGCCCTTGAATCTCCCCACTTAAAGCCCCAAAAGCGGGGAAAAGTTCACATCCATCAGGTGATAGTCTAAAAAAACCTCCCTCTTTTTAAACAGACTACACGGACCAGAAAAACAGTTGTGTCCAGGTCTGGGGGAGTACTCCATGTGCAGGAGGGAAACTGGTTGCAGACCGGTTTGATTAAAAAAAATTACAACAGAGATGTGCTTTTTGCATTTGTGAGCAGGGTGCTCCAAAAGAGCGTGAGATGCAATGCAACCGCTTTGCGACACTTGCGGCATTTCCAAAACAGAGCAACAATCGGACAAGAAGCAGCTACTTTCTCCGAAATAAAGTGTCTGTGGACTTAAAGAGCAGGTCCAGAACAACATGGGGGGGTCTCTTCGTTTCCAGTCTTCCAGCCATTTTTGTTCTGCAACGCAGATCAGCCAACTAGTTGGCAAGGTGAGCTCTATTTAGCCCCTTTTCAGGCAATGAAGCTGATTGCGGTAACGTTAACAATTTTTCCAGAGTCAGCCTCAGTCATGCTGGGAGGGTCGCAGAACGAGGCACAACACTGACCCAGAGTTGTAATAGGTGATTAGCTGGGACAGGACATACATAGACTTTCTGGGACACAACCCAAACGTGAGCAGCCAATGTATTAGGAAGGGCCAAAGTCTGATGGCAAAGCTTTTTGGTCTGTCATTGCCTCCCTCTGCAAACACAGAGCCCGCCTGCTTGTTACTTCCAGCTTCCAAGACTAATTGCTACCTGTTCACATACTCAAACGCCCTTTTCAAAACAGCTTCGGAAGCTGAAGAAAAAAATCAATTTGGGACGCTGCCATAAAGCGCTGGATTACAAATCCCAGAAGCTGTGAACAGAAGTCAGATCACAGCTTTCACG